TACCAATTTCTTTGTGTGCTTATGCCCCTCTCCTTTCGGCTTCCCATCCCATCTCTCCTCCTTGTGGCTCCCCAAATTCAGACAGAACTTTTTAGGCACATTTAACTGCATGTGACGCATCGTTTGGTTCCTCCTTGTTGGATCTGCAGAATTTTTGGATATACTCGCAGCCATGCCACGGTTGCTGCTGCTTCGCATTATTCTTTTTTCGGAGTTTTGTATCTTACTCTCTGCCTCTGCAATTTTGAGGCGGCATATTTTGGGGCATCCTTTTTATCTTCCGCGTTGGCAGGGTGCATCGACCCCGTCTGCGGCTGATCGATCCGTATCTATGTATATCTGTGGCACTGCCCGGGTATTTGCCCCTTTTCGCATTTATTTATGATTTAGCGCTGGACTATGGCACAATTAAACACCGCCCCGTCGTCGTCGTCGTCGTCGTCGTCGTCGGCAGCTTTGGTTAATTAAGCATAAGACATTAAGTCATGGGAACGCGATGTGCGAGAGGCAAATGTTGCAGATATTAACCCTGCTGCCACAGGGGGTCCGTTCTGCGATCCGATCCGCAGCACATGTGGCCAATGCAGCGTGCAACATTGCCGCCATGAACTTGGGAGGTAATTGAGCCGTGGAAGGACTGCATCCACGGAACAAGGAATGCGTTTGTCCAAAGGGGCAAACACTGGGCATAATTTGCCGCTCATTTGCCGCATCATCCGATATTCTCGGGAAAAACAAATCCAGCCCCATCCCCGGCCAGACACATTTCCGGGGGATTTTCCCCCAGCCAAGCACCAGAATGTGCATATTCTGCACACACTCAGTGCTTTGGGCACCCACTTGGTTAGATCAACATTTGGCTTTCCGACTTATTTATAGCCATTAAGGATCAATTATGCAATGCCCGTGTTTATAACCGACTCGTGTGCATGATTTTTCCATTTTCCATAAGAAGTGGATACAGTGGGTAGTGGCTAGTTCTGGTTTCAAGGCAACACGCTCTGCGTGTATCATTTCCAAAGCATAAATTTTCAAAAATTCACTGTTTACACTCGCCCAGATCACACTCAATAAACAATTTGGCCCAGCAACTATGTTAGTGTTATTGTTGTTATTTTTCTAGCTGCAACCACATTTTCCTGCCTCAGGTTGTTGTTGCTGGTCCAAATTTAGTGTTTTCCGCAGAATATTATACTTGAAACATAACAAACAAGTGTGGTTAGAAGTTGATCGGGCAAAGGTAAGGCCTTATATTTAGATTGGGCAATCTTATTGAATACACAAGACCCCATTTTTCTTGATTTCTTTTGGATTTCCCAGAAAGACTGATGCGCTGTTCGAATTCTTCTCAGATCGACGTCCAGTCTCTGCTGGAGTCAAGTTCAAAGACGTCACGAGTCACAAAGTTTGGCTTAATGTAAGCTTCATTGCGGCCACTTAATGGCCACACACACAGATACAGATACCGAGATATTACCCACAAGATACTCGCGTTAAAACGTTTAGTTTGTACCATTAAACTACAGACATAATGATGTCCATAGGTATCTCAGGTATCTGAGTGTTGACCCGCCTGGACCTGGGCGGGACTGAGTTGAGGGCCAGCCGCCTGTTGGATACCCTTTTGAAGTCTTCAAGTTGATTTTCCATTATTAAATTCTTCTTTTTATCAGTGAATATTTTTACAAAATTCTCAAGAACTTTTCCATTAAAAAAATCACAGAAATTGTGTTAAGAAAAACTATGATTTCCTGGGAATTCTGATTAGGCACAGATACCGGGCACATGTCCCCAAAAGCTCTGGCTAACGGGTCATGTGTTGGCCATATTTTATTATTCGCAGACAGAACAAAGCTAAGATATTTGACAACGCACAGGGAAACGGAGAGAGATTTTCGGTTTCAAGTGCCTAACGCACAATTTTCGCGAAAAACTTAAAAAAAAAAACGAAGAAACTTGACGAATGGATGCGCTAACTGCCAGTTGGGCAGCCAGGGAACAAGTTTCTGGCCCCTTTTTACGAGACGGCGACTTTATGGCTTTGGCTTGGCCAAAAATAAAACGCACGCAACGCCGCTGCGGTCAATGGGCTGGAGATTCTGGCCAAGAGATAGGTCCAGCATGTGCGTGAGAGCAACCTCCGCCGTCGCTGTCAACTTTGAACCGCCCTGACTGGTATCTGTGGCTGCGTCTTCATCGGAGAAGCACTTCCTCCGGCGGAGAGGAGGGCACTTCAAAGCGCACGCACTTCACCTACGCTGGGCAGCCAGCGTTCGAAAGCAACTCTTTGGGATAAATATTTACATTTCTATTTGAAAATTTGATTTGGTTTCCATTTTTCTATCTTTTTCGGTTTTTTTTGGGGGGAATCGCACACACATTTGGAGAGCCAACAAAGGCGGCGGTGGAGACCTGTCGACGAGTTGCAGGTGAGGTAATGGCACGATTTCTGGGCCACCGTTTGAACTAATCGTGCTGCCGGAAATTGAGATGTTAAAAGGGGCAGTTGATTGAGCTAGCTGCTGGCCATTACCAAGAAAAATTAGCCAACTAATGCTGCTGATTTTCCCCCGACTGAATTAATTTTATTTATTGAAATTCACCCTGGAAATAACCATCACTTTTCATACAACTTGCGGGCTTAATTGCTAATGGAAATATGTATTCTGCCAGGACGATGCCAATCAGGGCGCACATTAAGAGGACTTTGAAAATGCTTTGAAAAATGTTGCAATTTTCATTAACAAACTTCAATTAAGTTGGCAATGTAATTTGGCATGCAAACAGAATGCTGGCCAGGATAATGGCAGTCGCGCAGTGTCAACATCGGAGCGGAGCAGAGCGCCTGTTGCACAGTCTGCACGTAGCCAGGACATTGGCAGCAGCAGCAGCAGCACCTCCGCCCACATCCGCACAGCCGCACATGTGGACAGGACGCTCTCCGAGGACGAGAACGAGGAGCAGCAGAAGCAGCCAGTCGGGAGCCGTGTCAAGTGTTTGCGCATGTAGTTCAAACGGAATTAAAATTCCCATTGACACAGTAATTTGTTGGCTACACAAAGGGAATCAATTTCAGGGATTGCAGCCCCACATCCGTCGCGTTCGAATGGATACATGTTTGTCGGATGCTTACCACAACCGCCTCGATAAATCCATTTTTGCGGCTCCTTGTTGTCGCCACTCGCTCTCACTGGCTCTGTCTCGCTTGGCGGCGTTATATCGCGGCTATAATCTGGCAAATATTTGTATCGAACACACACAGGCACTCGAGAATCCCCACTTGAGTTTTAATTATTTGGAACACTTGTCACTTGATGGCTTGATGGACACTTTGCGCCTGCGCATTGCCGCAGGACGTTCGCGTAACGGTCACGTATGGGTTTTAGGGTCCTCGCAAGGAAGTCGTCGACGAACTCGTTCTTCTTCTCGATCGACACACACCCGCAGGGTTAGAGCGCACGCCAGCAACTGATCGAGTCGGAGCGTATACGATCGCTCTAATTCTGTTCCACTGCCAGCAGAAGCAGCAGCAGCAGACGCACAGCAGCAGCAATAACAGCAGCAGCTATGGATCGGCAGCAGCAGCGACAGCAGCAGAGACGATAGCTGTGGCCAAAGCCAAAGCGATAGCGCGCCACAAAGGACGGCTTCCGCCCCTCTAATCGCACCCGAATTGAAGGGGTTCCAAGCTGGGGCTTCTGCGGCTGTGGCAACTCTTGCTTGTTGCTGTGGGGCTTAGGCAAAGTCTTGTATAAATCCCATAAATCTGGCCAGTTTATGGGCCCTGCTATGTGACATCCGAGATCTGAGATCCTTTGCCAACCGGCCTGCACTGGGCTCTGCAGACGAATGCGGTTTCTGCACTCTCTTCGTCGCTCAGCGATCGCTGGCTGCAACTGGTTCTCCATCAACTCTCGCTGATCTCCATGCCCTGCACGTGTGCGAAGATGCAAAGTGATTTACTGGCCCCCGCCTCCCCTTCAAGATCTGTCGGCGGTACTAATGAGCCGCCGCTACCAACACATGGCGACCCTGATGATCCTTGGCGATCCTTCGGACTAATTGCTGGCAACATGTGTTTGCTGGCGTTGTGTTTACTCTGATTTCCAGCCTCCCAGGCATCCGATCCGGACCATCTCATGGCGGTATAATTGCAGTCTGGCATTGCTCCGAGCGTCATTGCCGCTGGATATCAGTTGGCCCCGCGGCATCGATTTCATGAAATTCAAAGAGTAGTTCATTCATGAAATGCTCAAAAGTCTGAACGATGATTTCCGCATTCCACATGCCTGAATAAAAACTATATATAGATATATATATCTCAGAACCCAATCTCAACCACAAGTATTTCCGCCGAAAATGTAAGCTGATAAAAGTCCAAAATTCGAGAAGCTCAAGAAAGGCGGTTTGAATTTAAATAGGCAGCCTGAGCTTCTGAATCGGTTACATAAGTCTGCCGCCGACGTTATATTCTATTTTTACAACCGCCGGACTTATCGGGACTTGGCCAGGGAAAGTCGGCCTCCTCCAGTTAGCTAATAAGCAGCTACGCAAAAACTCTACAACAGAATAATTATCCATACACATTTCAAGGCGAGTCACTAGAACGATTAGCCATATATGGAACGCACTTGATATTATATAAATTTTGCACACTCGTATATGCATGTGTAGAAGTGGAGTACAGGGCGTGAAATATGAAAAAGGCATTCCATTCATAAATGTAGGACTAGGCTCTAATTGGCTGCGGCTCAGCGGAAGCCAGGCTATCTGCAAGAAGTCGCTCTGGTCTGCCTCCAATTAGCATAGCGCTGACCCATTTTAAGCCCAGCTTCCGTCATGGGGATAGCCAGGGGCGCTGGGCGCTTCTCCCACTGTCGCTTTCCCTTATCGCAGCCAGTTCCGCCGCCCGAATCGCTGCTGTATCGGTATCCTAAGCGCTAAGCATGTGGGTGAAGGGTGGCAGTGGGATCAACAGGAAGTCGGATAGTGGTTTATATAAACAGTAAGTATTTAATAGAAAACTATAGATACAATATACAAAGGCGATAACGGAGGCAGAGAGGCAGTTGTTCAAGCTAGAAACCTGGATCCCAGTCCGTTTGCTGGGCCTCCATGTGCGTGGTGTAGCACTGCAGGATGTCACCGGGCTGGGGCAGCACTTTGGTGTCTCTAAAGCGGAGACCACACTCCACATCTTTCTTTATTGTGTCCACCTCGTTTTTAAGGTGTCTCATGGATTCCAGGGGACCATCGTAGACGGTTTCTCCATCGCGCAGCAAGCGGAACTTCTGGGCCTTCTTCAGCAATCCCTTGGTGCAGCGACAGCCGGCCACAGGCACCTCTTTGCGTCCCTCGTTGATGAGGAAGTTCTGCAGGACATTGGCCTCGCCCAGCACCTCTTCCACCTCCACCGGCGGCAGCTTGCTGCTCAGCTGCTCCTTCAGGTCATCAATCAGACGGTAAATGATATTGTAGCTCCGCACATTCACATCTTTGGCTGCCTTAGGCTGTGGAACCTCCACCGCAAAGGCATAGATAATGGCATCAAAGGCCTTGGCCAGCTCGAGATCGCCCTCGGTGACGTTGCCCACGCCATAGTGCACAATGTCCAGGCGACAGCGGTCGTTGCTGCTGTACGTCTCGAGGACATCTAGAATGGCCTCTACCGAACCATGGACATCGCCCTTGATAATGACACTGACCCTTGGCTTGCCGTCGTTCTCATCCACCTGCTTGACCCGCTGGCCACCGCGCACCCGAAAGCGTCCTGCCAGACGGCGAGCCTCTCGCTCCGCCCGGTACTTGGCCTGGTGCTCCTCCTCTTTTCTGCGAATATCATCGCTGCTTGACTCGATCTTCTCGCGCTGAGCCTCGTGCTCGCGAAACTTGAGCACGGCATGGGCTTTTTTCTCCGTTTCCACCTCGAGTATGAGATCGCCAGCCAAGGGCAGTTCGCGCCAGCCCAGTATTTCCACGGGAGTGCCTGGCGGTGCCTCGCTTAGAGGCTGACCATTATGATCGAAGAGACCGCGCACCTTGGCATGCGAAAGGCCGCTTACCAGCACGGAACCTTTGCGTAGAGTGCCGCGGGAGACGATGGCTGTGGAGAGCTTGCCACGTCGTGGATCGGTCTTGGACTCCACCACGATTCCCTCGACCAGACCTGTGGGATCTGATCTCAGTCCCATCAGAGTGGCCTGGGTGCTGACTGCCTCGGCCAGTAGCTGCAGGTTGGTGCCCTTCAAGGCGGAAATGGGTATCACTTGGACATCGCCGCCATGCTCCTCTAGAGCCAATCCCATTTGGGCCAGCTCTCGCTTGCTTTTTTCCTGCGAAAGATTCAGTTTTATATTTTTTCTACTTTGAAAAATCTCCCTTACAATATTCGCCTCGGGCTTGTCGATTTTGTTGAGTGCCACAATGATGGGCACCTGAGCCTCCTTGGCCAGCTGGATGACCTCCCTCGTTTGCGCCATGACGCCATCCTCGGCGGCCACCACCAGGACAATAATATCCGTGGCCACGGCACCACGAGCTCTCATCGCACTGAAGGCGGCGTGTCCTGGGGTGTCCAGGAAAGTGACCCGCTCGCCGTTCTCCAGGGTTACAGTAAAAGCGCCTATGTGCTGGGTTATGCCGCCCGCCTCACCGCCAGCCACATCAGCGCCGCGCAGGGAGTCCAGCAGCGTGGTCTTGCCATGATCCACGTGACCCATTACAGTGACCACTGGTGGGCGGGGTTTGAGTAACTCTGGCGGGGCAGGTGGCCGAGGGGCCGCATCGCGCTCCCGCTGATCGTCCTCGTTGACCGTCTCTGGGGTGGCCACCACGCGGGTCTTGGTCCCCAGCTTCTTGGCTATTTCCTGGATGATCTTGAGGTCGGACAGCTTGGCGGAAGCCTCTATGTTGTCGGCGCCCTTGACATACAGCATGGCCTCCTGGACGTCATCTGTGGGGGAGAAAACACACCTTAATAGGGCATTTAATGGGAGTAGAAGGGCTTACCCAGGGGTCTCTCCAGCTCCTTGGCCAATTGGGCCACGCTCATGTGCCGCCAGATGTCCGAGGCCACTTCCTGCGCCTTCTTGGGGGAGTACTCTATGATTCTGGGGGATTTCTACATAGATTAGTGAGTGTGTCGTCTGGGGGAGGCGGAATAATGGGAGCCACCTTCTCCTCGGCTGTTTTCCGGCGTTTCAAGAGCGCCGCGCTCACATGGAAGTCTCGCCATGTCGCCGGCGGCTGTTGGCAGTGCGTGACAACTCGGCAGGGGTGCAGGGTATGCGCCAGTCGACTCAGATGACAGATTCTAAGCATTTTTTACCGCTTATTTTCTATTTTTCATTGATTTTTTAAAATTTCTTAATTTTATATCGCGTAACAGCTGCTAGTGTGAACAGATTACTTTAAATAAAAATATTAAATAACCTAAACAAATTTCAACATTTCCGCTTTCACGACTTCTGGGCACACTCGAATGCGAAAATCCTCAGATCACCCGATCTGGCAACTCTGGTAGCTAAGTACGGCGATCTGGCAACGCTTTCTGTCCCAGCTACCAGTGTTGCCAGACTTTTCGGTCCCAGCTACCAGCGTTGCCAGATTGCCGTACTTAGTTCCAATCAGAGCAGGAGGCGCCACTGTGGAGTTCATATGGAACTGCCTACTCCAACTAGGATCCGCTTACTCTAACTAGGATCCGCTTAGTCTAACTGGGATCTACTTGGTCGAACTGCTGTTACACTGAGAAAACAAAACGTAAATTAAAAAAAAAACTTTATTTTTTCTTACTTCTCTTTTATTTTTCAAGTTTGAGCAGATCTGTGAAGGGAAAATATTTGTAATTTTTGAACAATTAATTCAATTGATTTAATTTGGCCGACTCTCTTGGTTTTCTGCTACAATCAGAGCAATTATTTTATTTATTACATATGTATATCCCCTTTCTGTTATAAAAAATTTCGGAAAAATTGTTATATTTTTTAAAGGAGTCATTTCCGACCCCATAAATCATATATATTCTTGATCAGCATTAACAGGCGAATCTTTCTAGCCATGTCCAGAAGAAATTTAATTTTTTTAATTTTTTTCAAAATTCGATTAAAATTTTCAAAAATATCAAAAAATTTTGATTTCCTAAAATTTTCAATTTGGTATGCAGTTTTTTTAAATTATTAAAAACTAACACAGAACCGCTGTCCGAATTGAAATTATTGCATTTTTGGCTTAGTTATGATAGATTTCAATTGTAACCAGCAAGGGTATAGGTATACAAGCTTTGGCTGGCCAAAGTTAGCTTTCTTATTGTTTGGTTTTTTCTCCCACAGGATAACAAAAGAAAATTACAAAATTACAAAACTATTGTTAAGTTTACCACCTGAAAACATGCTAAATTTTAATTAATGGTGCCTCGGGCATCCTTTAAATTGCCCCTCTAAGCGTCCTGCGTGAGTGTCAATCACTGCCAATGGGGCTTCAACTTCAACTGGCAGCTAGTTTGGCGGGCTTCTGCCTGGGATTCCAGGCTCTCGAGGAGCGGAGCGGCGGCCCTGCTCTCGTGACTGGCGCTGAATGCCACTTAATTCGGTTTTGAAGCGAGTTGCATGTCAAAATGATTGCTCTTCTGCAAACAGCGCATCTGTGTTTGAATTATGATGGAGCGCGCAAATATTCCAGATGCAAATATTTGCGCAAAACTACACACACGCATAGTCGGCACACACACACCCATACAGGCAGCTAGTGACTTGAAGTGCGGAGCTGGCCAGGACACGGATACAGATACAGATACAGGAGCAGGAGCAGGACATCCTGGGACAGTGCTGCCTAGAAAAGGATGTCCAGAAAAAGCCTTTAAAGTGTATATATTAGGAATAAATTATTAATAAAAGGATAATTTATAATGAATACCAATAATTTCCTTTTCTTTTAACTAAAATTTAGCTTGAAACCTTTATTTATGAATATATTTCTAAGCTAAATCGGAAACTTCGTACCCTTAAAGCTAAATCCTGTCCGAAAAAAAGGACGAATCGACAGCTCTGGCCGGAACTGGCCCCCAACGCAGGCGACTAATGGCAGGCGTGCTACGCTGGCAGCGCCAAGCACTTTTGAAAATGTGTAACCGGCACTGACTGACTTTCAGCCCGGGACGAGCAGCAGCAGGACTCGTTTGGCCGGAGCCAACACTCGGTGGTGGTGGTGGTGGTGCATCCGCTGCCGGAAATACGCTTACAAACGCAACTAGCACGTACACGGCGGCATGGGGAGGTTCCAGTACCCTCGCCAGTACCGCCTCGTCCTTCCAGCCTGCCCTACCTTCTATATCATCCTCGCCTGCCGTCGTCGTCGTCGTCCATCGTCTGTTTGCTTTGCAGCGCTGAAGACGCCGGCTGCGACGCAAAGAACTCAAACAAAATATAACTGTTGGAAGAAGCTGCTGCCGCTGCTGCTGCTGCTGCTGCAAGGACGAAGAGGGGGCAGCGTGCACAGAAAAAGTTTACAATTTATCTAGTAAAATGTAATTAGGATCCTGGGTGCAGCCCCCATCTCCGGGATGGCTCCGGGATTTAAGTGCGTGCAACTTTCAGGGCTTTCAGCTGCTAAGCTTAAAGTTGGGAGATACTGAGGGATTTAGGAAGAGTGGAAGATGGTCTTAGGGAAAGCATGTCTTAGGGGTTAATTTAGGGATTTAATAATAGTTCCTGCTATTACATTTATATAATTAGATTTTATAGTACCGTTTTCATATTTTAAAACATTAAAGAAAAGTACTTACCATTGCCAACTGATGATGGCCAAACGGATGTTTGTTGAATGTTTACCCGTTGCTGGCCAAAAATAGATGGCCAGCTTCGCTCAGCTAATCCGTTTCGCATTAAAGCTGCACCGACCAAAGTGTTTGCCTTGGTCGCATCTTAATTTCGCTGCCACAGCCGTGTGTATACACACACACGTACATCTACCCACAGTTATTTGCTGAGAAATTGATTTTCGTTAATTTCTGCCACAGCGAAAATGGCGTGCAGCAGCGAGGGTAGCTCTGGGAGTTCTCCTAACCATTCTGCTTTGGGAACACAAACTCTTCGCACGGCCTGCGCATAAGACATGCGCAAGAGCGACTGAGATACAGAGATACTCACCGACAAGCATAGATACAGATACACACGCACACGGATGCGGATGCGGCACAGATACTCGCACACCAGAGAGCGCACGCACACAGCCACGCCGACGAGGCGGAGCAAAGTAAACAAACATGGCCGAAAATGTTTGCTGCTCATAATCCGATACAAGTGCAAATGCCACTCACACACACACAGGCACACTCGCTCGAACACACCTCGTTCGCTCTTTGCAGTTTCCAACTGGCTGCCGATTCCATCTCAAGATGTGCCAACTTCTCGCCAGGTGTTAATCACGGAAGCCATGTAATCGCCTTCAATAATTTAGCTGCCTTCGCTTTATGCCGTTTTTTCTTATTTTCGGAGGCTCTAAGTGCTCACTCAGGCGTTGCCAAACGATTCCCTCGAATTTGGTAACAGTTCAAGCCAAATTGGTTGGCAAAATAAAGCATTTTGCAATTCATTAAGCGCTAAAATCGCTGGGGAATTAAACTCTAGAGTGTACAGAGAGAAATGTTATAAAAAGGCAGGTGGCAAAAGTCATTTTTAGTTGCTCGGAAACCATTAGATTTATTTTTAAGGGAAGAATTCATAGAAAACAACTACTAAAACTAGTCAAAACTAACTTTAAAAAAGATATTATTTAAGGTGAAAAATATTTAAGAAATTATTGAAAATATAAAATAAAAATGAAATTAAAATATGAAATCAGTTTTTTAGTTCAGAATTTTTAGCTAACATTAATTTAACTACAAGGAAATCCGGTTCTTGAACAAAAGTTTACTTGATAGTTAACAATATTTCTCAGATAACCAATCACCTAGTTATCAGCAGTTCCTTTTCCGCTTGTTTACCTCGCCTCAAATTGGTCTCAAGTTCAGCCCTCAAGTGCCAAGACCAATCTTCAATCATTTATAACCACTTGAAGTAAATGGAAATTTTCGAAGCTTCTTTTTAATTGAAGAACATTTGCAGCTAATTAGTGGGACTCCCCACTATGGAGGAGGAGAGCTACCAACTGAAAAAGGAACTGAAATTGGAAATGGAATCAGAATTGACCCTGTCACATTGGGGCACTTGAGAGAACCGAAAAACTTTGGGACTTCAAAGCTGCAGCCGCCGGCACTCGAGGTGGAAAAGTGTCTCCGTGTGGCCACTTGAGTGCACCTACCACAGCGTCCGATCTCGGAACGGGGTTCAATCTCGAGGTTTGGGTTTTTTTTTTCGCCAGCATGTACAGGTAATCATCATCATCATCGACGCGATGGCGGCTTTCAAATATAAGCAAAATATTGACAGAGCGGCAACCTCCAAGGCGCAAAGGCCCCGACATCGATTTCTGGCCATACCCAAGTCGTAGTCCAAGTCCAACTCGAAGTCCGCATATGCATATGCGATATGACGTTGCCGATTCGACGGCGATCCGATCCGATCCAGGTACCCGGCAGCAGCAGCCACAGGTAATTCGAGTCCATTCGCCGGGGTCCACTGTTTACACACATTAGAGCCCAGCCAACATCCGTTGTAGCCGTTGCCGACTGTGTCGCATTCAAATGTTGTTTTTAGCCATTGAAGTGGTAAATTTCACCTGTGTGCGAGGTGGAATGGCATCGGGAGCGGCAACGGCGGCGGCGGCCCATAGACACGGCCACTTACAACAAATGCATTTCTGGGCGGCGCGCGGCCTTTGATAGTGGACCACACACATACTCTGCCTTTTGGATGCGGCGACACTTGAGTTGATTGATTTCGAGATGCGAGCATCCGCGAGATGCAAAAAACGAAGGCAGGGAGATAGCGTCTCCACGCTGGTGGTCCTCGTTACCAATCATGAGTCTCGATACCCTGTAGGAGGAGGATGAGGAGCATGGGGTATATTAAAATGATATTAGGGAGTTGGTCTTAAGATCTGTCCTAGTCTCTAGGATAAGTGTAAGTCCTTACAATTCAGAGAATAAGATTGTAGTCCTATTGTATACTATGTTTCTTATTCTTATTTTTTTTAAGATGCTTAGTAAAAGTATTAATTGTTATATTAATTTTCCAGTTCTGGTTTTTATATAATTATTCTTGAAGGTCTTTAAGGGGTACCTCCTCGTCCATTCCCTCAACTATATTAATGTTGTCCCCAAGTTCTTGCCATCAAGCGATCGGCCCTGGCTGTTAATTTGCTGGAGGAAGTTTCCATTTAGCACTTGGGCAAACAGTCTCTGGTTTCTGCAGTTGTCACCGAGCACATTCCAATCCCCCGATGCCGGCAGAGTCCGC